CCCGGAGATAAGCGCTGCGAGACTCGGGCTCTGCCTGGGCTGGCGGCACCGACTTGGGTATGTTTCTTATGTCTATTACACGCGGAGCAGCGTCTGGTCGGGGGTGCGGTGGGGGTGCTGAGGGCGGGCGGGAGGGGAAGCCAACACGGCTGGGAAAGCTCAGGGCTGATGTGGGGGATGGGGTGGAGGCTAGGGGAGGAACACGAGTGAGGGGGGCACACGATGGTAGGAGGAGGGCAGCCTCCCCCACCCCCCATGCCCTCCCTTCCCTCGCTCCTTGGCGTCACTAAAGTCCAGGAAAATTATGCTAATGAGGACAAACCGCTCTCACAAAGGGGCTCTCTCGCCGTGCTTTATTTCTGGGGAATCTGAAATCATGCAACCTTGTGCACCAGGCATCTCCACTTGCGGGGTGAAGGGACAAAGTGCCAGCAAAGGGGAGCTCTCCAGACTTTAGACACTTAAGTTGCCTGTCACACCCATTCTAGGCACTCTAAAACCAATCTTGAGAAGGGGGTGCTGGAATAGGGCCTCTTTCTCCAAAGACCTCCCCAGAGTCAGCTGGGGCCACCTTTGGTTCTCTTTTCAGGTAGAAATCGTTTAAAGTGTAAGTGTAAAGTGTAAGGAGGGCGATGACCTGGGGGGAACACACATGAGCTGACCATGGGATGTTATGGGTACACAGAGTGCCCACGAGCAGGGTCCCATAGCCCTTCCACAGCACAGGAAAGTGGCTTACTCACAGATAAAGCTCAAACACAAACATAAACTGACACACATGATTTTCCCCTCATTAGTGGCTTGGGGAAGCCTGGGCTGATTAGAGGCCCCACTGGCTCTGTAATATCTCTGTAACTTTAAAAAAAGACACCCTTCTCCTCACAAAACGTGCTTCAGCTCTCCAGGTCACAAGCCAATGCTGCAAGGGCATGTGTGTGGCAAAGAGAGAAATGGAGTTTCAGTGACATTTCAAGGCGTCACTGGCTAGTCCTTCTCAAAAGAAGGTGTTAAAAATATAAGTAGTATGTTTAAACTGTCAGGGAGCCAAAGTGTCACCTTAGAGCAAAAACAAAACCAGGGGGAAAGGGAGAAATAAAAAAGCACTCCCGGCCAGGGTGGCCTCATGCATACCAATGGTTTTTGTCATTTATGGCTAGGCAAGATTTATGACTCGACGCCCCAAAGCTGTAAACAGAGCACAAAACAGCAAACACTTGCTCCTTATGGCATATTGCGGCGCAGCAACATGAAAGGGGGACTGGGCCGCGTAGGAGGCCAGCGGGCCCGCCCGCCGCAAAAATCCGCTCCCCGGCATTTTCTCTTCTAACTGGCACCCGGTCGGATGCGGCATTTGAAGAAAGAAGGCGTGGGTCAATAATCAACCTGCACTTTCTCCTCCAAACTGCTGACTGAAGACAACCGCCTTCTCTAAGCAACTGCAGGGAAGGCCGACGCGGCCTGGCCCTGGGAATCTGCCCGGGAAGGGGACGCGCGCGGGCCCAGGAAGCCCGGACGCACCTTTCCTTCTATGCCTCACGGAGATACGCCAGGCAGAATACAGATTTCCTAGAGGCAGAAGGGGCTGGAAGTCTGGGCTTGAGCCTGCATTGCCAGAAACTAGGCAGCTTCCAGGCTGCGCACAGCAGCGGAGCAAAAGGGAGGCTGCGACCGCAAGACAAGGGGCTAACGTTTGGCAACTCACCTAGGTGCCCCAGCCTCATATCTCTTTGCCATAATCAAGAGAATTTGGGGCAGTGATTTT